AATATATATATATATATATATATATATATATATATATATATATATATATATATATATATATACACACATGTAATTTCAGCTCATATCTTTATCTGTTTTAGCATATTTTAAACCTTGTTATTTTAAACAATTTTAAGCCATTTTTGGGGCCCCTTGGTTGAGAACCACTTATGTAGACTATTATTTTTGAATAATTATGCAGTTCTAATTTTAATATTTATGTCCTAGAACAGTGTACTAACTTTGTAAGTGTAACACACTCTCAGAAAAAAAGGTACAAACGGTCACTGGGCCAGTACCCTTTAAAAAGGTAACTAACATGTACACTTTGGATACTATCATGTGCTTTTAAAGTACTAATATGTATTTTTAAGGTACTCACAGGGGTAAATAAAATACAAAGATGTGCATTTCAGCTTTTGTACCTTAGGGTTCTGCCACAGTGACAGCTTTTTAATGAGAGTGCATTAATCAGAATTTCAAAACAATACAAAACCTTTGAGAAGTCAAATAAATTTTCTGTGGTAATTGATGTTATGCCACAAGTGCTGTCGATAGTGCTTAACTCAAATTGAACGCATAACATTCCTTTGAGGGATAAAAGCGCAGACTTTGCTCCTCAAATCTTCCATCTGCTTCCGCTCCATCCTGACGTCTGACTCCGCCGTCTCACGCTTGCGCAACTTTCACTTTTTCTCGTCTCCATGGAAACGCCTGCAGAGAGACGAACCGGACGGGACGGGTTCACACTATGCTCGCTGCTCACAGCCACTTCATGCCACTCCAGCTCTTAAAGCACATTACCCACAGTTCCAGGCACGAAGGCAATATCGCAGGGAAATTACACACGTGCTGGCGGGAAGAGCGACGGATCCATAATATCATAAATATCAGAGATCACCTGAGACCGCCGTACGGCCCATAAGGTAGGCTCAGCCCAGCCTCATGCAGGAAGTGTGAAAACAGGACGTGGTCTACTGAGACCTGCTTTACGCATCACAGACAGCATCTAATCACAAGCTGCTAATATGCAGCACAACACATGGGCTGTTTTTATAAGGCAGTACAGTACATTTCTGTGAGAATACAGCATGCATTCAGATCCTGTGTGCCGTGACCTTGCTCCAACTACTCATTCACCCAGCAGCCCGGCACTTTGCTTTCCTGCTTTAAAAAATAACTGCGGTGAATAAACTATCAAGCTCAGAACGCCTCAAACCAAAGTGTGTGCTTTGATTTATGAGAATACACAAGTTAAGAGGTTGAGAATTGTAAAAAAACACTCTGTTCTGTCTGAGATTCACTAACGAACGGTCTCGTCGCAGCAGTTCTGCTTGATGAATATGGATGTCAGCGAGCTTCTCTGAATGGGCGGAAAAGGTAAGAAGAACCGATGAAAAAGTTTTCAGATAAAAAACACAGCTAATTTATCAATGGCTGCACCTGCAGCCTCGCCTTTTCACTTTCAGTCAGCGCCGTTAAAGCCTTATCAGCCACCGCAGTGCATTATTCTCGCCTGAATATGCAAGAGAAAACTCAATAGCTTGATTTATCTCATTTTGGTCTGATTAATAACCCTCCAAAAGAACCTGAAATGAAACTGAACAACGCATATAAAGTTAAGTGCATCAACTTTAAAACAGGCCCCAGGCCTGCATGAATCTTTCGTTCAGAGTTTTGTTCCTTGCTAAGCTTAGCATCACTACCACTATTGCTCATGCTTGGCTCAATATAGGCTTACATAAGATGTACTTTTACTGTTTTAAGCAATCAATCTTACCATTTTTGCTCTGTAGACGGTAAAACATTCCACAGACTTACATTGCAGGAAAGATTCAAGCTATATCTAGAGACCAGAATAGCACAGAAACAACCACCCAGAACACTCTAGCAAGTGTATATCAACACCAGAGTAAACAACTACACTGTTCTAAAGTTTGGGGTCGGTAAGATCTTTTAATGTTTTTTAAAGAAGTCTCTTCTGCTCACCAAAACTGCATTTATTTGATCAAAAATACAGTGAAATCAGTAATATTATGAAATATTATTGCAATTTTAAATAACTGTTTTCTATTTGAATATATTGTAAAATGTAATTTATTTCTGTGATCAAAGCTGAATTTTCAGCATCATTCCTCCAGTCTTCAGTATCACATGATTCTTCAGAAATCATTCTAATATGCTGATTTGCTGCTCAAGAAACATTTCTGATTATTATCAATGTTGAAAACAGTCGTGCTGCTTCATATTGAAACATTTAGAATTATTTGTGTGAATAAAAAGCATTTTTACAAAAAATATTTTGCAGCTATGTAAAGTACTGTCACGTTTGATCAATTTAATGCATCCTTGTTGAATAAAGTAATACTTTCTTTTAAAAAAATGGTAGCGTACATTGAAGGAGAAACTGGACTCATATTTAGATAGCAGAATATCACAGAGATTAGATTTGGGCCAGTGAGTATCCACTTAGCAACTTCCCTGAACACCCCGACAGCCGCTTAGTAATGCCCACAACATCCTAGCATCTTAGCTGTGAGTTTTGCATGAGCAAACACCACTCACTTTTCCTTCATGAAATGTAAAAATGTAGTTACATCATACTCTGAGTGTATGTGTATGTGTGTTTGTCCATATGTGGGGCTCGTTTAATGCTGCATGTTTCTGTCTCCTCTGGGCTCAGTGGTTTGATTGACAGGTGAATGCCGGAAGTACATGTCCCTTGTCTGTTAAGCCTGTCAATCAAATTCTGATATCCCATCTCCTCTCTTCTCTCTCTGTATGTCTCTTTTTCCTGGAGGCAAGTGTTCTTTTTTTTTT